ATACAATTTCCGAAACCCGATGCGGCCCTCAGGCCAAAAAGTTTGCCCGCCCCTGCTCTAGAACACTGGTTCTAGGCTACAAACCTTCAGTCTCTACATGTTGCAGAAACTTAAACAGCACAGCCAGCGTTCTCATACCTGTGCATGCAGTGGGACTTAGACAGCAGAACACAGTGCTAAGATACTCCCCACTAAGCCGTGTGTGTGGGAGGATGCACTAGTAACTGGCTTCACACTCCCAGTCACAATGAAAATTCATGCACTCTACCCTCTACCTAATCCTAGTTCATGGCTGGGATAGACTTGTGCAAAGCAGGTTAAGTGCATATAAAGCTGAGGAATATCCCCACCAGCCTGAAGGGTTTTAAGACTTACCAGAGAGACTGGTGCTGAGGAGCAGAATCAGAGCCACCGCCAAAGCCCTGGACTGAAGCATGGTTTGCAGCACAAGCTCAATGCAGTACCCTCAGAAACCAGCTGGAGGCACAATTAAACACTTTGATACTGACTAGAGAAGAACAGTATACCCCGAATTAACAACAGGCAACAAGTCAAAGAGAGACATCAAGATCATTCTTGGATTATATCCTTTACCTCCTTAAAAGATGAGGACATTCAATGCAAAAAGCTAATACAGTGTTATTTCACCTATGTGGTACCATGAATATGCATAATTAGTAAGAACATCCAAGAGTACATTAGCTATGTTAAAGCAAAAATGCTTTATCCTATATAAGAGTTAATTCACATGCTTCAGGGTAAAGCCAACCACTAACCTACCAGGGGATTTTCCCCGTTAGCCTGCATACCTAAGGCTGCTTCTCTCCACAGCACCTTCCTAGTCCACATTAGAAGCTATGCTGCCGATGGCAACCAGATAGCTGCTGGTTACTAGCTATCACTTTGACAGCTATTGCTTAGGTAGCTTCCTCTCTGTTAGTCCTGGAGTGGAGCCACATTCACCCCTATGGACCTAAGGTATAATATGCATCCATGTGGTCATGAAGGGGTAAGGAATCTCTCCTCTTTAAAGCCTGGAGCTCCACTGGTGGAGGCTGCTTGGGAAAAGCACTGAATCAGCACACCTTTTCCTGCGTTGGCCCTACCCAGCTTTTGGAAATGTGCCAGCTGACTTCAGGTCCCTAGTGGGAACAGGGATTGCAGAGGGTTTTTGCCAATGCACCCCCATTCCAGGGAGCATTACTGCCTTGGGGTGGTGGGCTACCAACCTGAGTGAATCCAGCCCTTGGTCTGTAAGAAGAAATGAGGTAGAAACAGCCTCCCTGTTCTACTCCCTCCTGTACATTCCATATAGACACCAATCAGTTACAAGGTTCGCACAGCTGGAAACGGCAGATGGAATGTTGCTCTTACCTCGCTCTCTCTCTCACTGGCAGAGGCAGGGGTAGAAGTGAGCCTGAAACACAAGCACTTATACAAAGTTAATATAGAGATAGCAAGTGGGTCAGAGGTCATGCTTGGCTTCACATTGGCTCTTTCACAACAAGGGTCAGATGAGTGGGATGGGCAGGAGGTGCAGAGTCCCAAGTCCTGCTCGGAGTGGGATTTGGTAATGAAGGGTCAGTCCAGCTGAGACTAGATCCTGAGCCTTTAGCTAGTGTTTGCTTCATACCCTACCCCCCATTCCCACTAAGCACCTATGCAAACAGCAGCTATATTCTCCTCTTCTTACACTATGTATTTTTGTATTTCTAATGAAAAGTCCATTTTCATTTAATTTCATTTCATTTCTCTATGAGCTGAGGGGTGAAAACATTATCTACTATCTGTTCTTCTCTCACATATGGAAAAAGCAAAGAGAGTTCATTTAAAAACAAGACCCAATTAATAAGCACATCATAGTACTATTTACCTCTGTTGTCACTTATAAGCTCAAAGCGGTTTACAACCAGAGGATAAGTATCGTTATCTCATTTGACAGACAGTGAGGGAAACAGAGACAGATGGATTTGTAAAGTGACTTGATTAAGGTCCTGTAATTCTCTGTCAAAATTATTTCTTGATGGAGATTGCGTTTTAAACAAAAGCAAGGCCCATGTCCTCAAAGTATGGATTTCATTGGGAATTTGGCACCTCAATACGAGTAATGGGAAAATATTTGTGGATCTGGGTCTAAGTGTCTGCTTTCCTTGAAAAATTTCAATTTTTCATTTGAAAACTGAAAAATTCTGACCAACCCCCTGATTTTTCTCGTTTTGACAAAAGGTCAAAATTTTCCAGGGGGAAGGAGAGAACATGGTCCAAGCAGCTCTAAGGCTAGTTCTAGAGTCACTCTTAGAACAAAGATTTTCTGATTCCGTTTCTTCTGCTTTAAGCACTTGATTACATTTCTTGGTCTAAGTAGGAAGGACAGACCACAGATACAAATGGCTAGAAGTTCTCATTTATTTTAATTATACATTTGACAACCACTCAAAAACCAAAACATACAAACATCTGTTACCATCTGGCTTTTCATTGTACAGCTGGCACAGTGGAATGACATTGTAGAAAAATAGTACAAGGCACGTTGTAGAGATTAAACAAGATGCAGAACTACATAAGGGCTTGTCTTCACTGCAGCATTAGCTCAAGATAATTTGAATGTTGCCCCTAACTTGACTCCCACGCACGTGCAAAAATCTCTACCTCAGGTTAACTGGTGCTTTAAACTCAAGTTAGCTGGCCCTTCGGGGGTGTAGGTAGAAGCTCAAGTGCTGCTGGGTCTAATAATGCAATTGAGACATAGCTTCACTGTACTGCTAACACAAACACTCTGTGCTGTTTGAGGGTTATTTTGCTGTGTGGCCCTCTCACTTGAGCTGAGTGAGCTCTGCAGTAAAGACAAGCTCTAAGGTTGTTCCTGGGCCTTTTTGCACTCTTGGTTATGGGTTGCGCGATTGCCAACAGTCTATGTGATTGTTTACTTTGCTTGAACAACTCAGCAGTTACACAAAAAGCAGCCTCTCGGCCTCCAGTCCTGGAATGGTGCCTACCTACTGCAGTGTTAGGAGCTCTGCAAATGCATAAGAGAGCCAGGCACATGAGTCCATTCTTGTTCAGTGAGAAGATTTTATACCACTCATGGCTCTATAGCAATGAGTGGAAAGCAGTTGCCAGGATCAATATCTGCCTGCCCTGCAGGCCAGGAGAGCTTGCAATGGGAGGTTCACGCATACTCATTACTCACAAGAAAGAGTCTCGTTATAGCAGAATCACTTTGCACCCACTTCATCTCTATTGATATAGGAATTTTCTTGTATGCAAGGGATATTCCTTTGACTGTGCAACAGGATCCACGGAGACTAGAACTGAATCAGCAACTGGAAATGAATTTATACAGTTCACCACCTATACACAAGCTCATTGACTTATGATTTTGTTTGCTCTTTGTAATTATTTGAAACTTTTTGTGCAAACAAACTACAGTCTGTGGATTTCTTGGACTCCATTTTGTGCAAGTATGAGTATTTATTATTTGAACTGCATGTTTTGTTATCTAAACCACATAGTATTGTTTCCAGTCCCCGACTGGATAATCTAAACTACTACTGTCCACCATTTAATCACAAAATTAAATGTTTCAGCTACAGGTTTGAAATTAGTTTTCCCAAAAACATACACAGAAGCAGAATTTAGCTCACGTGAATGTTATCAAAAAGTGAGAAATAGGGGCCCAAACATGGTCAAAACCAGAATTAATGAACTATTCACAAATAATTTCTTCATCTCTACTACAGAGCTGGTAGGGAAAGGGAAGAAGAGAGCTCACTTTCTCGGTGTTAGGCCAAAAGCCCAAGCTGTGTCATTAATACAATCATACAGTTCTGGCAGTCGTCACCAAATAGTACTGTTACATGTAACCTTCATGTTCTTTTTCCACAGACTATGTCTACACTTAAAATGCTACTACAACACAGCTGCATGACTGTAGTGCTTGAGTGTGGACACTTACTACAGCAATAGAAGGGATTCTCCCATTGCTCAAGTCTAGGTAAGCTACTCCCTCTAGGAGAGGTAGATAGGAGTGTGAAAAATCCACACTCCTGAGCGACATAGTTAAGATGACCTAAACCTTGCTGTAGACAGCTAGGTAAACAGAAGAATTTTGTTGACCTAGCTGTCTACAGCAAGGTCTAGGTCATCTTAACTATGACTCTCAGGAGTGTGGATTTTTCACACTCCTGAGAGACGTAGTTATGCTGATGCAACTTTTCAGTTTAGGAAAGCCCTTAGCATGCGAACAAGTTTTGCCTCTTGGGAAGACATGCTGTGTTAGGCTGGGGTTATAGAAGATTGTGTGTAGAGGCAGCTTTGGGGGAAAGAAGCAGCTGTGCAAAAAGCAGTTTACTATGCGCCTTGGGCTCTTATTAGAATCAGTTCATGGGGTGCAGTTGCTCCTTGGGAGCCGGGCACTGCTCTGGGCTGAGAGAGTAGGAAGAAGAGAAGGGATTGTCCTGCATGCTGTTTGATCATCTCATTTCAGAATTAGGGTGCATGTAGATAAAGCAAGTTACACTGAATATATCCAGAATCCATATTATTGATTTTTGCTCCCTGGGAAGTCAACCTGCTCAGCCCCAGACATCTGCTTCTGCAGAGGGGCAATGCTGAGTAGCAGGACTGGTCTATACGGGGAACTTACAAAGGCATCGCTACAGCTTTCAGGGGTGTGAAAAATCCATATCCCTGAGAGACATAGCTGTGCTGACTTACCCCCCAGTGTAGACAGTGCTAGGTTGACAAAAGACTTGTTGGGGAGGTGGATTACCTACACCAATGAGAGAACCCTCCTGACGCAGTGTAGACAGCGGTAACGCTGCAGTGTTCCAGCTGGGCCACTGTAGTAGTTTAAGTGTAGACGTACCCTCAGAATGGGATACTGATGTGGGAAGAAGGGGCAACAATGCTATTCTTTAATATCAATTCAGTTGTCCACCAACTCTTCATACCTAATACAAAATCATTAGCCAACCACACACAGAGAGAAATGTATTAAAACCATCAGAATTACACAAGTACCACTACCACCAACATATCATTAAAATCTCATCTTTAAATAAAAATTTTCACAGATCCATCCAAGGGAGCCGGATTCCACAGAGCAATTGTCTCTCTTTTCCATGGGGAATGGAGCCCTCATCCTTACATTCTGGTTGCTGCAATGTCAGGGCTAGCTCACAATGGAAATACAGAAAATTCTTCTCTAACATAAAATTAGGCAGTCCCTGCGGTGTCCCTTACAGGTCTCAAGATGAACTTGATTCCACAGCTGTGCAGCCGTGGAACAGACCCAGAAGCAACACGAGACCTGGGAGCATCAGCCTCAAGTTCTGTATGGAGCCAGCTATTCCAGGTGTGGGGCACGGGTGATGTAGTCGTCCATACAAGTGATACATCCCCTAATCCAGAGAAGAGGTGAGTTTGTTAGTCTCCTGCAGTACAGCCTGGTTCTTGATCTCAAGCTTTTAGTTCTAATGGTCCCTGTTTCAATCCCTGCTGTGCTGGCCAAGATGGTGGTGATTACGTAAGATGTTCCATCAGCTGTTGGCATTGGTCTCCAACTCTTTCAGGATAATCCAGAAAAAAAAAAACCTCTTATAGAACAATAAGAGGGAGCTGGATGTTCATCCTTCGCCCTCAGTTTGAGGGAAGAACTAAGAAATGGCACTAGTTCCCAGGGAATTGTGGGAATTTGACTCCTTTCACAGTGGCCCTAGGTTACCAGACAGCCTTTCAGAATCCACTCACAGCCACTGCTTCAGGCAGCAGTGCTGGGAACTGTGGGACAGTACACCCAGAGAAAGCACTGCTACCATGATGTTGTAGTACTGCCCAAGTGTGAGCAAAGGGAAAAACCACAAACACAAAGAACACACCTAGTGTGGCAACACCACTCCATTGATACTTGCACCAGTGCTATCCAGGAGTTCTTTTATCTGGCCTACACACAGCCCCAGGGAGGGAGAAAAAGCACTTTATATGAATTCCAGAGGGAGGTTCCCTACAAGAGTGCAAGAAAGGGTCATTTTCAAAATCACTCCTGTAAGCTAGTTTCCCAAAGGAAGTGGCAGGCACTCCACTGACAGTTTTAGTTTTAAAATGTCCTGTAGAGAGCAATCCTGTGCCAGCTGGGAAATGGACTGGATGAAGTAAGAATAGGTCTTGACCAACCTTTAGGTG